CCTGCCCCATGCCTGCCTCTTGATACCCACAAAGCTAGCAAATGGGGAGCATTGTTGTAGACGAAACACATTCCACCGTGGCCATCTTTTACAAGCAGAGAGTAAAGTGTGGGCTCTGCCTCACTTCTACCTTCAGATCTCATAGGACTGCCTCTGAGTGGCCAAATCTAAATTATATCCAGTAGCCTGGGTGCCAAGGAGTTTGGGAATTGTGCATTTCATTTTCTGGCTTCTGCATTTCAGGAAGGACCTTTAGAAGATGGTTGGGATGAATGTTGCCTGTTAATCTACCATAACACCCATACGACAATAATGAAAGTACCTGCTTCGTAGTGTTGTTGTGAGGATTACATGAAATAATAAAGTACCTCAAGTAGTGTCTAGCACATAAGAAAGTCTCAATAAATAAACTCTCAATAAAGGTAGCTATTTTCATTGGTGACTCAGGAGAAAGGTGAATGACCTTGATTAGCTCCAAACAACATAGCCTCAAATTGCCCACTTGATAATTGGTAACTGGGAGTCCCTGTGTGGCACAAATGGTTAATTACATGCTCGGTTGGCAGCTTGAGTCCACCCAGAGGACCTGAGAAGAAAGGCACAGCCATTGAAACCTTCGGAACACGATTCTACTCTGACACGTGGGGCCACACCATGAGTCAGAAGTGACTTGATGGCAACTGGTTTGTTTTTTTAAATAAGTAGCCAAATAACTCATTTATCATATAAGAGCATCAGTTTCTTCGTCTATAAATTGGGGCTAATAATCCCTCTCTACCTTATAGAGCCTCTGCTCGTATCACATTAGATCATGTGTGAAGTGTGCTTTGGAAATAGTAGGCACTAGTTGCTTTGGTGAATTGGAAAGTAACAAACTTGTGCTCAAATTCCAGCTCTGCTCCTGAGAATAGCAGTCTCCTTCTTGCAGTTTTTATCTCATTCATCCTCATACTTTTTTTTTTCCTCCTTTAATTTTCAGAATTAGCCAGGAAAAGCAAACAACTGTACCACATCCGCATCTATGAGGGAAGTAAAACTCAGGAGCTGCTGGGTCCACCTTTCTAAGGAGAGGGAGGGGATTAGGCCTTTCCCAGCTCTTCAAAGCTCCTGACCCCTGAGTTCTTTCCAGGGGACCCTCTGTCCTCTGTGTGCCAGTTACTTCAACTGGAGGCTCGTGCCAAGGGCTCAACCTCGAGGAAGAGACAGGTGGCTCCTGAGCAAAAACTGTAACGCATTCTCCCCAGGGAGAGAAATTCCGCAAGTTTAGCTCACTCTTTCCTGCCATAAAGCACATTGAATGTTAACAGCTTGCTCCTGTCCAAGCTGGTGTTTTTTAAATTAAGTATTGTTAAATCCATACCATTTGGAATGATGCTTCAGACAGCTCTGACACTCTCTCTCTCTTGCTTCTGCTTTCATTTCACCTAATATATTGTACGTGGAGCTGGTAACCAGGATTACTGCTGCTTTGGCTTCTGCTGTTACTACTGCTCAGACACTTGCAGGTGGCTTTAATTTAGATACCTGAAGAGGAAAAAAAGGAACTCAGCCAATGCCCTGCTCAGATGCTATTCGGATCCTTTCCCAGGCTGCCACTAGTGTGAATCTTGATTACCTTGGGTTTTATTTTCTTTCTCTTCAGCATTGAAAGGGGTTTTAGCAATGATAAAGTTAGGAGACAGACAAGCTGTGGACTAAAGTGAGATACTTCTCCTTATCCCATAACAAGTTGCCATCAAGTTGACTAAGACTCATGGCCACCGCATATGTCAGAATAGAATTGTGCTCCATAGGGTTTTCAATGACTGATTTTTCAGAAGTAGAATACCAAGCCTTTCTTCTGAAGCAACTCTGGTTGGACTCAAACCTCAACTTTTTGGTTAACACTTGAGCATGCTGATCATTGGCCCTACCCATGAACTTACTCCATAGGTAGCATATACCAACTGTAAAACCTGGATACTGTACTTTTTGCTTCTTGCCTTTGCTCTAAATGTCCCCTCCAACCTGTATAAAAGCAAAAACAAACACAATCACTGCCGTGGAGTTGGATCCGACTCACAGCGACCCCTCCTTGGGTTTCCAAGGTGGTATCACTATGGAAGTAGATTGCCCAACCTTCCTTCCGAGGAGTGGCTGGTGGATTTGAACCACCAGCCTTCTCATTAGCAGTCAAATGCCTTAGCCACTACACCACCAAAGTTCTTCCAACCTATATAACATCACTGTCAACCAGTATTTGAGAGTGTATGTAGATGAGAATGGATTTAGTCATATGATACTTCATATGCTTCAAGGGCCAGTTTAAGTTAGTGGGACCTCAGGCAAGTCACTTAACTTCTCTAAATTTCAGTCCCACATATATAAAATGGGATTAATATTTTACCAGCTTCACAGAGTAGTAATAAAGGCCTAATGAGCTTCTGGTGTAAAATTGTTTAGCCAGCATTGAAGAGACCACATAAAAATTGGGAATTATCAGACTTAGCTCCTTCCAGAAACGTTCCCCAGTCACTCTACCCTCCTTGATTTTGTTCTCCTTTACATGGAGTTGTAGTAAAGTTGGAGTCTGCCCTGCACCCTGTAACGCTTGACTGTGCACTCACTTTTCCTAGTTTCTGGGCATCCCAAACAGGAAAGGAAATGCTACAATCAAACAGACCAAAGCATGGGACATAGTGGGCATCCTTCAGGGATTCAACAGATGGTTGAGGGGTTGACTTCGAAACACTGTAGTGTTCTCCCTCTTCACTGAAGTGACCATCAGCTTGGTGCACACTAATGGATACCTCAGAATTCCAACCTATGACTCAAAATATTTAGACTGTATTTCTTTCCAAAGGCAAAAGGAATCTATACTAGTGTAAGTGACCACCAGTTATTTTCTGATCATGCCATTTTTTCCCTGTTTTTTGCAAATAGTATCTTATTATTAGCATGATTGCTACTTTTTCTTCTCCCACTATCTGTTCTTCCCTTTGAACCTGTCTAATGAGTAGTATTTATATATAGAAGGGGGGGAGGCAGACTAGGTAATATATTACATTTTACAGAACTCGTTGGAAGTCTTTAGCTAATGACTATGTTAGAAGAGAAAACCCTGTAGCAGAAAGCTCAAATGCATAAAAGGGTTATATAATAATAGCTCTATGAATGAAAGTCTATTTCAATCAGTCAATTTTTTTTTTAATGTGATGAGGATTTCAGATAATACCAGTCAAGCATTTTTACATTTACCCATGAATACTCTTTAGCTTAAGAGCATTAGCTAGTTTTTTGAAAGATTTGTAAAACTAATCTGTCTGAAAGGGAAAAAGCATATTTCAAGAAAAGGGCCTCTTTGTTATGGGTTTACTATCCATTTTCCCAAGTCCACATATTTAGTACTGAAGAGAAGGATGTCTCCATATATGCCCTGGCTTTTCTAACAGGTTGAAAATGGGATTTTTGAAAGACTCTCTGTCTTTAATTGATATACCATATGAAGTAGGTAATCTCAAGTTGAACAACCTGCTTTTCTTCACCTTTTTGAAAAGCAACACTGCAGGTATGTCTATGGGCAGACCTGCCTGTATTCACATGCCTAATATGGCTCTATCAGGTTTTCCATATCTGTGTATTTTGTACCTCTTGTCAGTATTCTTTTTTTAACAATGAAAGGAAAGAACATTAGTTCTAAATTTCTTCTCCCTCTACCGTGTATATTTTTGAGGCTATCAAGAGATCTGTAAATGAAAAGTTTCCTGGTAACACACCTAGGGAAATGTCAGGCCAACTTGGCCATTTCATCCTTTCAAAAATTCAGTGATTTCCTTAGCAGATAAGGGGAAAGACGTCCTTGTTTGACACTTGACACTTCTCGTTTAAACTGTAATAAAATCCTCTTGTGGTAGAGTCAAGTCCTGCTTGGTGGTGGATTAACCAGAGTCAGAAGTTTCCTGACCTTCTCTTTGTTGGTGCTGGCTCTGCCGTCATTTCACTGCTCATTAGCACTTCCTCCAGGGATGGACTGAGCTGCTAAGGTCATCCTGTCCAACCCTCTTGCAAGAGTGGAAGCAAAAAGAAACCCAGTCTAGCCTTTTCTGCTGCATTACAGCAGCTCCAGTGAAGGACATGGATGAGGAGAAGGCTGAAACTGTTAAAAGAAGGTGTTGGGATTAACTGTGGATTTAATTCATCCTTTCTTTCCCTCCTCCTGCTAAGGCAGATAGTTGAGAGTTGGCAGTAAGTCAAAATCAGCCTCCTCCTCAACCCTAATTCTCAACCCCACTTATCCTGGAGTCTTTGTTAACAGCTACTTTTTAAACTAGGGGATCTCTAGTTCTAATTACGCTTTTAGAGTTAGGAGACCCTGGATGTTTTAAATTGTCAGTGTACAAAGAAACAACTTGCTTTATTTTATTTTTTCCAGATCAGGCCATTAATACACGAAATAACATATGCCACTGTTTAGGTTTAGTGAAGAACTTTCAAAAGCTTATACAGACTCCCTTCGCCAAGTCAAGGGGGAAAATAAAGAGGAACTTTATGGAAGAAGCATAAAGCAGTTGTACAGACGCGTTTAAAGGGCACATTAAGTCAGTTTTTGTCTATGGTTCTTTCCCTTTACAGCATATGTAATATATTGACAGGGATTAAGTTTCTCTCCTGAATGGAACAATACAGAGTCACAGGGAGCTACTGTACTTTACAAAGCAGGCATCAGCACAGGCAAATGGCAAACAGAAACGCATCTCACAAAGAACTAACCAGGTTAGTTAAAAGCACAGGCAAGGTTTGGCTGCATCTTCCGCAATTCCACATCTTTTGCACTTCTCTTCTGGCTCTGCCACACGCTCGCTCTCCTTTCTTTTTCCTCCTTTCCCGTTTTGCTCTCTCGCTGTTACACTTTCTCTGTCCCCCTGGCTTTGTTATTCAGCATGTCTGATTAGCAGGAGCCTGATTGGCTGGCTGCCTGCTCCAAGAGAGATTCCATTCAGCTTACCCCCCACCCATCCACCCACCCACCCCTCCGCCAGGAAATGTGAGTGGGGCTGATGGAAGCTGATAGGCAGGACCGGAGTGTTAGCACCAGGACTGGATGTGACAGCAGGCAGAGGAGCACTTAGCAGCTTATTCAGTGTCCGATTCGGATTCCGGCAAGGATCCAAGTATGGAATGCTGCCGTCGGGCAACTCCTGGCACACCGCTCCTCTTTCTGGCTTTCCTGCTTCTGGTAAATGCTTTTTCATTTCAATACTTTGTGATGCTGGGTGCTGGTAGGGTGTTGTGTGCGTATGTATGTGTGTGTACGTGTGAATGTATGTATGTATCTTTATCTTAAAACTTAAGGTAAAATAATTTATATGATTAAGGAAGGAAAAAAAGAGAGAAAGAAAGAAAAAAAAAAAAAAAACACCTCCTTCCATATCTTTAACCCTAACTTCCCAAGGAAAATAAAGTCTGAGATTTTCTGCAATTAGTTACAGGTATATAATCTTACTGAGACGTGTACTTTGGAATATAGTGCATAGACTTTGTGGGCTAAGGACTGTGTACATGGTGGTGTGTGTGCTTGGAAATTGGAGAACAGACGTCCTGAAATCAAACTGTGTCCCTGGAATTTTTTTTAAAAACAGGCTGTGAAGGGCTTTACCCCATTGCTTTTGTGATTAGTTTCCCCCTCTAAAGACATTTACACAAGCTCTGATGACACAGTAATTAAGCACTTGGCTGCTAGCTGAAGGTCGTAGTTCAAACCCACCAGCAGCCCCATAGGTGAAAGAAGTGGCAGTTTGCTTCCATAAAGATTACAGCCTTGGAAACGCTATGGGGCTGTTCTACTCTGTCTTATAGGATCACTATGAGTCAGAATTGACTCAAGAGCAATGGCTTAGGTTTATTGGGCTTTTTTTTTTTTTTTTTTAATGTTACATGGACTAAGGAATCAGGTAAAGATGGAATGAATACTTCTTTGCAGCCAATCCAGATTATAGTTCAAAATTATTGCAAGTCATCTGTGGATGCAAGTTAATGCTCATATTTATGAATTGAAGCAGATTATGGTCTTTGATCTTAGATCTACTTTTGAAAAAGAAAGAAAAAAAAAAAGATGATTTTTTAGTACAACTGCTTCGTCCAGTCACAGTGATAAGATGCTCTGCTCTTGAACATCATCACGCACTGCATGTTTGACTCAAAATAAATGTTCTGTTGTGACTCAGACTTGTATGGATAGAAAATGAACATTTACTGTCCAAAAAAAAAAAAATTATACTTAAAATATTTATAGCAAGACACTTTTTTTTTTTTTTTAAACCAGAGTGCTCTGGGCCAGCAACTTAGTAAACCTTACCTAGAGGTTTGGATTGAAAACTTGCACATAATGATTCCAAACAAACGTGAACGTAGCTGTCCCTGTCACACTTACAACATGCCAGAACTTCCTCAGAAGGTAGTAAGGCAAGAATGTTACAAGGTGAAAATGCAGCGAAAATATAGGTTGCATTGATTCGTTGATGGGGAAGGAATGTTTTGTTCTAGATTCTAACAAATTTGATGTGCATAAGAATTTTGAAGACAGGAAGCAAGCCATTTGGTGCACACTAAAAAAACTCCAGGAGGGGTTTAAATCACAGACAATGATTAAATATTTTATGCATTCCTACTTTTTAATAATTTGTATCAATGTAGCCAAAAAATCATAATGATGCCTTGCAAATACTATAAATATGGAATTATAATACATTTTCAGTTTTTCATGGGATTATAAACACAAAGTGAATTTCAACTCTAAGTTTTCACTGTGCTGAGGGATATAAAAAGCAGAATGTTTAGGTGTACTTTATGACTTGTGGAGCAAGCAATTGGTGAAACGTGTCTCATTTTTTCCATATGGGATGTGTTACTTCTGTACATCATTAGTTTGTCTCATCTTTCCTTCTCATTGATTTTTAAAAAGTGTGTTATTTTCACATTATGTTGCATCATAAAGCAAATTACCAGTACATACTAGTTTATTTGATATTTTTATATGGAAATATGATCTCATTATACTTGAGTAAATCTTTCCCATTTGGGAATAGATTGTTTTGCTTCTCATTTGGTAAATGCATTATATCCATTTTTGATATCCAGATATTCATCTATGCATTTAAGTATATAAAATTAGGCTCTTATAGCACAGTGCCTAAGGCACTTGACTGCTAACCAGAAGACTAGCGATTCAAACCCACCAGCTGTTCCTCAGAAGGAAGGTCAGGCAATCTCCTCCCATAGTGATACCACCTTGGAAGCCCAAGGAGGGGTTGCCATGAGTCGGGTCCAACTCCACGGCACATAACAACAACATGGGAAAAAAGAGTGATTGCTTATTTCAGAAGGACTTAAAACATACTCTTTAAATTTCAGTGATTGTATTATGAGGACAAAATGAAATGAAATCCAGGACAGTTTTATGTTTGCATTTCAATGAATTGGGAATCTGAGGATTACACTAGAAAATAAAGAGAAATGACTGCTGAGTGGCTAGGTACATCTCTTTGCAGAGTAGTAAGAGCAGTAATAATAGCTCCTATGTATCATGTGTCTGAATGTGCCAAACACTGGGCCAGTTGTTTGAAAATATTACAATAAGCCCTTACAATCACCTTGCAAATAAGGCATTTTAAAACCCTTCTACAGATAAACACACTTAATATTTGAACCCATCGGCCAAATAACAGAGAAAAAATACCTTGTTTGCTTAATACTACACTTGTGAAACAGTTAGCAATGATGGAAGCAATGGTTTAGGTTGATCTGTACTCTTTGTTGGAGATATTTAGGTTTCCTACATCATCTTGGGAGCTCTGGTACCATAGTGGCTAAGGCACTTGACTGCTAACCAGAAGGCTGG